TTTTTTTTTTTTTTTTGTTTTGCACTGTAAAATAAAATAGTTAGACGGTCTAACCTTTGAAATAATATCAATAAAATAGCAGTGGTTGATGGGATAGCCCTCATTACTGCAAATAACGTTTAGCGATCATCAGAACCATCTGTATGGGCGAAATTTTTCAATAAAAACAAAATATCCTGAGTGCTAGAAAACCTCAAAAAAATTTTTTCTCTCCTTTTTTTTTTTCAAATTATTAAAAATACCAATAGCAAAAAATAAGAAAAATAAAAAATAGAAAAAAAAAAGCTTGCCTTCTGTAATTACTGAACAACGTTTCACAGAACAGTTATCATTTTCTGTAGCACTGAAAGTTAATAATTTTGCTTTACTTTTCTCTCAGAGTATAACAGTTTTGAATTCTCCAAATGATATCAGAACATCTTTTTGATTTAATTAATAATTAAATCAAATATATAATGATTTAATTAATAATTAAATTTTTCTTGCTTTCTTTTTGCGGTCTCAAACCCCTCATCTTATAGAAGTCAAAAAAAACTTATTTATTTTGGTTTTTTTAACTGAGATCTGTGGCCTATCGCTTGATGTATACTGTTAAGCAAACACATTAAGCTCTACACGACAAAAATAGTAAAAAAAAAAGAAAAGAAAAAAGAATAAAAAAAAAGGAGCTTTTCATAAACAAAATGTGGTGATTACATTTAAAAATTAACGCATTTGAAAAGGTTTGGGATTGTATACCATTAGTTGTCAAATAATAAACTTTTTTTTGGCTTTTTCCTCTTATTTTTAAGATTTACAACGTTCCATGCACTCTTCTTGTTGTAAATTAAAAGTTTTTGTAATAGTTTAACAAAACAAAAAAAAAAAATTGAAAGGAAAAAAGGATACAGAATAAAACCACAATCATCATAATTGATTAAAGCTTTTGTTTTCAAAGTTGTTAATCTCATTTGGTGGTCGATCATCGTTGACAGTCAACGACAGTGGGCCGCGACTATCAGTAGTTTCCACAGACAGACCACTATCCAGGTCGTTTGGTCGGTATGTCATATAACCAAGAATAGTTGCCAGAATTGAGACAAGTTTACAGACTATGGCTAAAAATGAAATAAACCATTAGCTAATTATTTGTAACTTGAAAAGACGACAGAACAAGCGATCGTTTAAGCTTAGAAAACGGTTCAGAATCCTACCGACAGCCATTATGGTCCAAGAAAGTCTGTACGGGTCGTACACCAAACACGCCTGTTTAGCTCCGCAAGATTCCTGCCACTTAAGACAAGCTGTATCAATCATCATTCCAAACAAAATACCGCCAGGGATAAAACCTAAAAAAATTACCAATTTATTTCACCATACAATCACGACAAGTTTGTTACCCCAGTTTCCAAATCATCTTCCTTTCAGTAACAGTTAGTGTTAACAAAAATTTTAATTACGTGAAAAAATTTCCAGCTTTTACCCAGTAAACGAAGGAATGACCAGTGGACGCCAATTCCAAGCGCTCGTTGTTGAAAAGGTACTACTCTTAGCATTATCTGAACACTTTTTATTCTTGAAAAGAACATAAAATAACCATTAATTTTACACTTATTAATTGAAGAATTTGAAGAGAGAAATATAGTATAAGAGAAGAATGAAGGTCTTGAAAATAAAAATTTTAGGCAAAAATAGTAAAACCTGTTGAGACGGGATTCCAGATGCAAAGCTTGCCACTGTACAGAGGAACAGAAGTAAAA